TTTGACATGGTAAAAAGCGTGTTGTTGTACACGACTATTGAGGAATTTTAACCAAAGTATGTTGCAGACATTTCATGAAGACCCTAAAGAATCATACCAACTTCTGGAAATGGGCATCCAATGTCCCCTTTAAGGGATACTCCGACCCAGTTGCCTTGCCATATCAATTTGGCTCTTGTCAAAATCACTCAGATCTTTATTCCTGCCCATTTCTCCTGCATTCAACACACTGATTATAAGAGCTGATTGTTTGCTTACCATCCACCAACCCAGACCTTATTGTTAGGAGATGTTAGGAGATGATCAATGACATTTGCTTCATCTGTCATATTGTTTTGGCTCAAAATCCCATATACCAGCAAGCTACTCCTGCAGAGCATTTCAGTTGTAATGAGAAGACCCTGCTCATCAGCCTAGTACCAAGTATGGTGGTTTCAGCATTTCCAAATCTGGTGGTCCCATGTCTGGTGGTCTCAGCACTCCCGTGACCAGTGATCTCAGCTCTTCCAAGTCCAGTGGTCTCAGTGCTTTTTAGTCTGGTTGACCCAAGTCCAGAGGTCTCAAGTCTCCCAAGTCTGTTGGTCCCAGAAGTCACAAGTCTAGTTGTCTCAGTGCTTCAAAGTTTGGTGGTCTCAGCACTTCCAAGTCTGTCAATCTCCATTTCTAAAGCTCTGTGACCACCAAATTCAAAGTTTCAAGTCTCCCAGGTCAGGTAATCTCAGTGCTTCCAAGTCCATGGGTCCCAGCGCTTCCTAGTCTGGTGGACCCATGTCCAGAGGTCTCAAGTCTTCCAAGTCCGGTGGTCCCAGAGTCACAAGTCCAGTGGTCTCAGTTCTTTCAAGTTTGGTGGTTCCATATCTGGTGGTCTCGGCACTCCCATGTCTGGTGGTCACAAGTCTCCCAATTCCAGTGATCTCAGTGCTTCCAAGTCCATGGGTCCCAGCGCTTCCTAGTCTGGTGGACCCAAGTCCGGTGGTCCCAGAGGTCACAAGTCCAGTGGTCTCAATGCTTCCAAGCCAGGAGGTCTCAATTCCAGTGGCTTCAGTGCTGGCACTAAATTATTGTGATTACACTTGTATGTCTGTTATGTTTTTCTTTGTACTGTATTTTAAAGAAATGGTTAGGTTTAGAGATAGGAAAGGGATTATCTATATACATTTTCATTGTAACCAAAATGATTGTCACTGTACATTTTTCTGCCTGTTATGTTTTTAATATTGAAATGTAGAAATGAAACTAACTATATTTATGATATAAAAAGATTTTGAAAATATATTAGATTTCTATATTTGTCAATTTGTTTATATTTAGATAATGTCAGTATGATCATGTTGTGTGTTTCGGCAATAATTCAAGCAAAAATTATGTTTTTGTACCTGCAAATGGCATGTATGAATACCTACAACAATAAGACTGGGTTGATATCTGTTGTTCTATTAAAATACATTATAAAACACTTGTAATAGTGTATAAATTTATGTAGCACCAAATATTATGACAGTATTGTTCATAAGATTTTAAGAATGGAGAAACTTTTGTAACATAAATATTTGAAACTGCGGGGTATTTTCATTTAAATTAATTTGAGAAGATTTAGCAGTCTACATTTTTTCACATTTGTTTTTAAATTGAATTTTAATTTCTCTATGTTAAGTATAAAAGTATAACATTTCAGATTTTCACAGGAATTACCCAGGAATCAATTTTTTCTGTAGTCAATTTTCATCCAGTTATCTAGGTAATGTTTTTTCCCCTTTCTATTTATACTTACATGTGTAGTTAGTGAGGTATACATATTCTGGACTGAAAAAAAAAGTAGCCTACTGATATCAGATCGATATTGGCTGCTACTCTGCATGCATACTCAGATGTGCTTCAACTATGACATATCAATTTTTTTTTAATGCATTATTTATTATCATTCAGGTCTTTTGTAATGAATAGCTCACTTATGAAGTTGAACTATGTCCATTCACCCTTGCACATACACACAGCGTATATATTTGTGAGTGGGGGAAGGGTGGAATGGCATTCTCTATTACTATGATAATTAGATTAGAACATTATTAGCAAAGCATAGTAACACAGTGGGAGAATTAAACCTCTATTCTAATTCTTTAGTGTTTGCTCAGCAGATACATACTGCTTACATGACCTGTACTGCTAATTTGACTAATTGTTTAAAAGTAGGGGGAACAAAACACTAGCTTGCTAATTATGTGACATCATTTTCATAGGGGAAAAAATTATGAGCAAAACTCTTATGTAATTGTTATTTTGTCTGTCATGCTGATGTGCCCTTGAATCCTCAATGAGTCAGCACACTGTATCTTATCATGTCTAATGTAATGATTAACTGTAAACATTTTCAGTGGGCAGAAGATTATAATGTGAAAAAACATGAACCCTTATGAAAACACCTCTCTCATCTTGGGGAATTTGGAAGTTGATTTTTAGGTTTAGGTATAAGCATTGCTTGTATATTTTTGTTATATCCTTAACCTTGTTTGGTATTAATCTCTTCTCATATGAACGTTGAATGTTGGCGGCATTTAGAGTGATGTTCTTTTTGAACAACATAACTGAGAAAATCTAATCTATGAGGGAAGGAGACAATTATATATGTGTGTGTGTGTGTGTGTGTGTGTGTGTGCTCACATTGTTAACTTGTTAGTGGAATTGTGGGATCCTAAACAACTCCCCAACATAACACTAACCACAGGCAGCTATCCTTTGTTTATGTTCCTTTAATGATTTTATATGAAAGACAGGAAATGGCAGGAAACCCGACCCTACGCTCCTAAACCGACAGAAGCAGAGGGAAACATGTACATGACCATGGTGCATCTGGACTTTAAACTGGTGAGTAATGCAAACTGAACAGTAATCTCTGGGCTGTTTCTTTTTGAAGAAGTGGGGAAAAGTTGAACTCATTTTTATGCATTTATCCAGACAAGACGCTCTGAGACAGCATTGTCACTTAGATGAGCTGGAGGCAGCCGATGTGGATAACGTCTCTCAGAGGACTGTTTAATAGAAGACCAAAGTTGAGGGTTGATCAACTCAAGGTTTATGCACTTGAATTATAGCTTTAGAATTTAGAGAATCAATATAACTTTATAGCTGAGAGAGTCAGCTGGTGTGTGTGTGTGTGTGTGTGTCCTGTGAAAGAAAAACATCATCTGTGTTTGCCGCTGGTCAAGTGTGATGGAAGAAACATGTCTGCTGCTCTAGAGGAATACTGCGGCTCCATTTTCTGGGTAAGTTTTGTCAGCTTCTGTTTTATGGAGTTTCTCATTTTCATGTTTCAAGTTCTGAATGATAATACAGTGAGATTTCACTATTTACCACGGTGCAACATACTTGAACAACATAACTGAGAAAATCTAATCTATGAGGGAAGGAGACAATTATATATGTGTGTGTGTGTGTGTGTGTGTGTGTGTGCTCACATTGTTAACTTGTTAGTGGAATTGTGGGATCCTAAACAACTCCCCAACATAACACTAACCACAGGCAGCTATCCTTTGTTTATGTTCCTTTAATGATTTTATATGAAAGACAGGAAATGGCAGGAAACCCGACCCTACGCTCCTAAACCGACAGAAGCAGAGGGAAACATGTACATGACCATGGTGCATCTGGACTTTAAACTGGTGAGTAATGCAAACTGAACAGTAATCTCTGGGCTGTTTCTTTTTGAAGAAGTGGGGAAAAGTTGAACTCATTTTTATGCATTTATCCAGACAAGACGCTCTGAGACAGCATTGTCACTTAGATGAGCTGGAGGCAGCCGATGTGGATAACGTCTCTCAGAGGACTGTTTAATAGAAGACCAAAGTTGAGGGTTGATCAACTCAAGGTTTATGCACTTGAATTATAGCTTTAGAATTTAGAGAATCAATATAACTTTATAGCTGAGAGAGTCAGCTGGTGTGTGTGTGTGTGTGTGTGTCCTGTGAAAGAAAAACATCATCTGTGTTTGCCGCTGGTCAAGTGTGATGGAAGAAACATGTCTGCTGCTCTAGAGGAATACTGCGGCTCCATTTTCTGGGTAAGTTTTGTCAGCTTCTGTTTTATGGAGTTTCTCATTTTCATGTTTCAAGTTCTGAATGATAATACAGTGAGATTTCACTATTTACCACGGTGCAACATACTAAAGGGATATTGTAGGATTCATATTCACAAAAAGAGAGACCGAATTATATTTGAACTCACTCAGAGTTAAATAACATTCCCGGGACAAGTACTGATAAGACCGTGCTTTGTTTTCTAAATTATTAGAGTTTACATTTTTTTCATGTTTCTTATGTCCATTACAACAGTGTCGGGGGTAACGCATTACAAGTAACGCAAGTTACGTAATCAGATTACTTAAACCTGCAATAATTAAATGTTAAACAACACAAATATCCTTTATGTATTCGATGATCCAGTTCAACCGTACTAATAAGCAAAAAATACTCTAGACAAACATTTGTGTGTTGAAATGTCTTCTGCATTCTACTGTACGGACGTAACTTTACTTTCCCTTCAGCCTGAGGCTTATTAATTTCACTTCTGGCTTTTATATATTTGCCAAAAATATAACTTTTTTATTTTAAAATCAAACAAGCAAGCACTGTCCAGATTTAAAAAGTAACGCAAAAGTAACGTAACGCATTACTTTCCATAAAAAGTAACTAAGTACCGTAATTAGTTACTTTTTTATGGAGTAACGCAATATTGTAACGCATTACTTTTAAAAGTAACTTTCCCCAACACTGCATTACAATGGGTTCTGAGCAGTATCAAAGTATGGATTTGTTATAAAATATTTTAAGAAATTCTAAATAAATTAAGGCTTAGGTGAAATAACTGTAGATTAATGGCGTTTTAATGAAGGTGGTTTTATTAAAAATATGTTAATATTTAAGATACTGAATTTTATTGCTGGAAGTGGATTAAGCTTAAAAATATAGCTGTACAATTAAACTGTGATGTAAACAAAGAATTAAATAATGCATCTGGTAATAGAAATTCTGTGTGAATCAGACAAAGGCCTAGAATGACTTTTTGAAAGAAAGAAAGAAAGAAAGAAAGAAAGAAAAGTCCTGTCTTGCTGAAAGGAAACTCCATTTGATTCAGTGGCACAAAATAATTAATCAGTTTTAGCAAACATTATGGCAAATTTCAACTATGTTGTGAGGTTATTATATTTTATAACAGTATTAGACATGCAGTGCTCAAAGATGTCTACCCAGCTTCTTTAATATTATACTTTATGATCAAAAGATAAAGGCCAAATGTGAGTGACGCCCAAAAATGGGATGAAATCACAAATGATGAAAACACAAAGATGTAAACCACATTAAAACACGATGTCCCCTGGAATGAAAGGTCTGAACAAGCTCATCTCTAGTTTTAAAATAAATGACCTTAATAGGTAACTTCTGGAGAAAAGTTCATGGCACTGCATTTCGGTAGTAATCAAATGACTTCAGCCATACATTGTTTTGCGTGTGTCTATGTGTTACTATAATCTATGTAATCATTAACAGTCAGTCAGAGTCAGCAAAATCACGCCGAGTCACAGTGAGACTGCAGAAGATCTTCATTCAGTCTTCCGACGACTGATATTTAGATCAGTTTATGTCAGTATCTGCTCTACTGTTATAAAGATCTCATTGAATTACAGCACAAGCATTAGAATGTCATCATAGAAATATCAGCATTTGCACCAAATTCATATTTTTGCTCAGTTTGAGTCTGAATTTAGCTGTTTTTGCTCCATATTCTCACTATATCTGGCTATATGAGCCATACGCTTCAAAATATTATAAACATAAACATTATGAATGTCTGTAAAGCCACTTTGAAAGGAGATATACAATTAAAACGGACTTGAGTTTTATAAACTGACATTTGTTAATGTATTAAGAACATCATGAATGAACAATGAACGATCTGTGAATTAATATCGACCAATGCTATAAAGCATTGCTGTTAATTATTAGTGCATGCCACAGTGTGCCTATAATGCATGAACTAATGCCACTGAATTGACTGTTATTGTAGAGTGTTACTGCATTAATCCTGTATTTGACATGTTTGTCCTCAGGAAGAAATCGCTGATCTTCCGCGCTTCTGCTTGTTCTACATCAGCTACGGACTGCAGCTGATCGCCTGGGTTTTATCAGCCATTGCTGACGTTTCACCCGAGGTTAAGCGAATTTCTCAAATGGTACGGAGAGCGTGTGAGAACTGTCACTTTAACATGCAGTAAATGCATAGTTGTCCAATTTACAATTTCCTCTCTAATTCATTGCAGAATCCTGAAGCCAGAGCAACCTTTCTCAGCAGAATCACCTTTAACTGGTTTAACAGGTGGCTCTGAGTTTACTTCTGCTCGTCATTTTGCATTTTTATCGTCTGTTTTGTCACATTTGTGTCCGTCTAGTGCAACTCATATACTGTATGTGCAATACATGAATCTCTCATATGCATAATACGATATGAATCGTGTTCCTCAGCATGGTAATCAAAGGCTATAAGAGGCCGCTGGTTCAGGAGGACATGTGGGATCTGAATGAGAAGGACTCCTCTCAGGCGATCTGTCAGAGGTTTGAGGACATTATGGCAATAGAGCTGAAAAAAGCCCGCAGCAGCCTGCAGAAGAAAGGAAATAAACCAAAGACTAAAGATGGTCATCAGAACGGCTTGGCCAAAGGAGTCAGTCAGGATGTTCTAGTTATGGTAAGCCAATGGTTTTCTGTAGTTGTTGAATGATTAGTGTATAAACACCGTTCAGCATTACTACTAATGACTAGCGTTAACTAAGAGTATGATGCATTTGTAGTGTATGCTGAAAAAATCTACTTTGGACCAACTTAAACTAATAAACATAATAATAATCTATATATGTCTAATTGGTTCTAGCCAAATGTATTAGCATTTCTCAAATTAGATTTATTAATATTACATTTTAATTTAATATTATTCAAAAATATATATTTTTTTCCCAAAGACAAAAACTTGCTTACAGATAAAAATAAAAAAATGATATATATATATATATTATAAAGAGACCATATCACTGAAAAAGTGTGTTGGCTTTACATGACTTAATCCTTTACATGAACCAATTAAATAGCACAAACATACTTTATTTCCACATAAATTCAACATCATTAAATTACGTTATTTGGAAGTGAGTAAATTAATTAATCTCCAAGGGATTTAATTAATTCAGCTTAATCAATATATTTACTGTAGACATAAGCCAGAATGTTACTAAATGTACTGTAAGTCAATTTAATAATTTGCCATATTTTCACCTTAAACAAAAGCTAATTAGCTATAATAATACAATTTTAACTTAAGATAAAACTAAAAACATTTTGTTACTCAGTGTTTAAGTTAGTTTACTTAGACATTAATAAAAAATAAAGACAACTTCAAAAGTGTAATATTTATTGCACTGTAAATTTCAGTATGTTAACGTTACTTGTTACCTTAGAAACTTGGCATATCTTGCAAACTTATTGCCTTAGAAATCTAGTTAAGGTTGCTCAATATATTCAAGTTGACTCAGAAGCCAATTTATGGAAACTTGAATATGCCGAGCACCTTTAACTAGATTTTTCTGAGGCAATAAGTTTGCAAGATTTTTTAAAGTAAAGTTAACGAAGTGAGATCTACAGTGTGTGATGTCTTTTTTAAATATGCATCATGCTTTCTGTAATGTACTTAAAAAAAAAAAAATATATATATATATAATATTATTATCTTTTAGACAAACTAAACAGAACGGATTTAAAACTGGAAACCCTCATTTTCAATTAAAACAGTATAAGATTGCTCTTTCAATAAATGACATGGTCGTTTCACTTTGTTTGTGTATTATGTAAATAATATTTTTTGAATCTAAGGACCAAACACTGACTGATGCACCCACAATATTTTAATATCTAATTAGGAGGAGACAGGAAAGAAGAAAGAAAAGAAGAAGAAGAAGAAGAAGAAAAAAAAGGATTCTGAATCCGAGTATCCTAATTCCTGGCTGGTTCCCACCATCGCTAAAACCTTCAAAGGTGTGCTTTTAGAGTCAGCCTTCTTCAAACTGATACAAGACCTTCTGTCATTTGCAAGCCCACAGCTTCTCAAGTAAGTGGCCTTCTGCGTTCTTCTCATTTGCCAACCGTTTATTGTATCGCAAGAGTTTTTAGTTGTTGCTGTTCTTCAGACTTGGACATTATGGTCTGTAAAAAGGACATCATGTATTACCCTGTTAGTTCTTTACCTGGTGTTTCCGAATCTGCTGGACTGCTTCCCAACGTGAGATGTGCTTTGTGACAGGTTAATGATCTCCTTCACTCAGGACAAATCGAGTCATGCATGGACTGGTTACCTGTACGCCGTGCTGCTTCTGGTGGTGGCTTTTTTACAGTCAGTTATTCTACAACAGTATTTCCAGCGATGTTTTATCCTGGGTATGAAAGTACGCACAGCTCTCATGGCTGCTGTTTATAAGAAGGTACATTGATCTGTGTTTTTAGCAGCCAAATATTGTCCTATCCTAACAAACCATACATCAATGGAAAGCTCATTTATTCATGCATACAACTCAATTTCAGAAAATTGACCCTTATGACTGGTTTTGTGGTCCAGGCTCACATATGAAGAGTTAATTTGCAAAAACCGATAACTCCATTTTTATTTTATATTTTTCCAGAAATCACGTTTTTTTTTTTTATTGCACATTCCAAGTAATATCAATCAAACTGCATTTGGGTTGTTTTGATTAAGTAATAATAACTTAAACAAATACAGGTAATTTACTAAATTAAAGTTTTTTTTTGCGTATTAAAAGTTTGTTTTATAGCAAAAGCAGATAACTCCACTTTCATGTTTTAGAGTTTAAAAAAAAAACACTGGTTTAATCTTTGTAAACTCCTCAGATGGCAATGTAGACACCTGACAAACGTTGCTGTTGTTGTGATCATAAACTGTATAGATGTGATTACACGGAGCTTTTCCCTCACCGCTGTAACTGCTTTTGCAAGCTTCCGTGAAAACGTTTCAGCTTTTATTTTCCTTTTTCGCTCTGAAGAACATAACACAGATTCATAAAGTTCGTCGAAATGATCCATCCTCGATCACTTTTAGTCAGCTTTGACAAAACTCCTCTCAGCTAGCATGTCTTTTCAGAGTGACCGTAGCCTTGTCACCTGACCTGAATACAGCATGCTGATTGGCTAAAATGGACTTATCGGCTTCTGTTCAAAAACAACAAGGCGCTTGTCGGCTTCTGCAGTAAAACGTGAACTCACGATGCCTTGAAAGTGGACAAAACCAGCTTTTTTGACAAAACTTGTTTAGGGTTCAGATCGCGCTATATGTGGAGCATAGTGCACGACACTCAGCTCATTGTTTTTGAAAGTGGTGTTTATCGGTTTTTGCAAATGAACTCTTCATAGCCAGTGGATGATGTTGTGATGACTGGTTATTTGCTGGTTCCTCTCAGGCATTAGTCGTATCTAACGACTCTAGGAAAGAGTCGACTGCTGGAGAGATAGTCAACCTGATGTCAGCGGATGCCCAAAGATTTAACGATGTCACCAACTTCATCCACCTGCTGTGGTCGTGTCCACTACAGATTGCTCTGGCCATCGCCTTCCTCTGGATTGAGCTGGGTCCCTCAGTCCTGGCCGGGCTGCTGGTCATGGTGCTGATGGTGCCCATCAATGGCTGGCTGGCCACCAAATCCAGGGGCTTCCAGGTGATTCGGTTTGCTTCATCAAGCATTGCTCTTGTAAAAGAGTTACAAAAAGGAATATTGATGAAACACTGCATCAATATCCACTAAAGGCAACATGCTTCTTTTCAGATGGAAAACATGAAATTTAAAGACAAGCGGATGAAAATTGTCAATGACATACTGAATGGAATAAAAGTAAGTGCATTCCTTCCACTCTCAGAAAAAAAATCAGTTGTCACTGGGGTGGTTCCCTTTCAAAAGGTACATGTGTCCATATCCATAAAGGGTGCATTTTAGTACCTTCATGGTACATATTTGCTCTTCTGAGAATGTGGCATGCTTAAAATCCTATTTTCATTTAGAATTCAGTCAAATCAGAATATGTAATCTTGATTTGCGGACATCTCTGCACATGTTCCACTTCTTTTCGTCACTGGTGTGCTAGGTTCTGAAGTATTACGCCTGGGAATCATCGTTTGAGGCTCAGGTTCAGGAGATTCGAGAGCAGGAGCTGAAGGTGATGAGGAAGTTTGCCTACCTCTCGTCTGTCTCCACCTTCATATTTTCATGTGCTCCAGCTATTGTGAGTATAACAGTGTTTTATACATTAAATGATTTTCTATTGCACCAATGAATTTGTCAGTCAAAGTAATACCGGCACTGATCAGACATGGTGGTGGTGGACGGATGGCAAAGCTGCTATGAACAGTATGAAAAATTAACTTCAGTAAAATACAAACAGAAAGCAAGCAGCATGACTACATCTTTACTCTACAGACTGTCTGATCGCTGCTCGCTGACTATGCATATGCATATTTGTATTTATACAACTGGACAGTAAATAATGCACAAATCTGTACATAAATCTTCCAGATTTTACCACATTATTATTATTATTTATTTATTTATCTTAGTCTTATTTAATTGTTCTTTCTGTCTCATGTCATGTATGGATGGATGCATGTTTGTACCAAGAGCTCCTAAAAAAACACAACAAATCCTTTGTGTGTTTGCGCACACTTGGCAAATAAAGCTGATTCTGATTCTGGCTCTCCGTGTGTGTAATTCTGAACTCTAACAAATGTTCCCATTTGAGCAATAATGGCCACTAGCAATAATGTTGTTTCTTGAAAATGCAAGTAGTTGCTAAAGAGCATTCAGAAACATCTCATGCATCTCTCATCGCGAATCATCTCATTTCATATTTCTGACTAAAGTTTAAGTGTGTAAACTGCTTGAAAAGAAAAAGACACTTTTATTTTGTAGTCATTTGATTAACTGCAAAAATAAGTGTAAGAAATATAAACTACTGTTGCAGAGATGGAGCCCATATCATATATCATATCATATCTCATCTGCAGGTGTCTCTGGCGACCTTCGCTGTGTTTGTGTCTGTGAGTCCCAATAACATCCTGAACGCAGAGAAAGCTTTTACCTCCATCTCACTCTTTAACATACTGCGCTTCCCACTCGCCATGCTTCCACAGCTGATTTCCATCATGGTTCAGGTACTAGAATTAATACATGCTGTTATATTTATACCGAAGCATATTACTGCTACCTTTCAATTACGCTTTGTTTGCATTTATATTAAAGGGGTCATATGATGCTGGTAAAAAGAACATTATTTTGTGTATTTGGTGTAATGAAATGTGTTTATGTGGTTTAAGGTTAAAAAAACACATTATTTTCCACATACTGTACATTATTGTTTCTCCTCTATGCCCCGCCTTTCTGAAACGCGTCGATTTTTACAAAGCTCATCGTTCTGAAAAGCGAGGTGTGCTCTGATTGGCCAGCTATCCAGTGTGTTGTGATTGGCTAAATACCTCAAGCGTGTGACGGAAATGTTATGCCCCTCACCATACTGTGATGCTGTGTCCGGCCGGAGCGACGAGACAAAAACATGAAAACCCATTATAAACGAGGCATTCATTGCATCCAGTGGGGACATAATTATGGATTATAATGACTTATACTGTCTTTTTACGCGTTGCGTTGCATCGCGCCGCATAAACATAAAACCATGTCTGCATTTGTGATCGGAGAAATGACAAACAACAAGCGCTACTCTACACTGCTCAAAACT